GTGTCCTGGTGATCAGGATTAAATCAATGCCACACACTGACAGCTGTTTTGAATTTTTATTTGATAGCTGACAGAATAACTTGTACCCCACAGTAAAAGCTGTTTAGCTCTCTGAGAGGCAGGCACATGCAAACCTCACCTGCAGCTGCTGCTGTTCCTGCTGCTTCTGTCAGCCAGGAGAAGGGGACAAGAGGACACGGCAGTGGGTGAAAGGAGACTGGGGCAACTGGGGGGTGAGAACGGGGGACACAGTGAGCTGTCATCACTCCCCATTGCTCTAGTCAGACATAATGATGTTTTGTAAATCCTAATTACCTACAGAAAAGATATGAAAATTTTTACATGAGGGAAATCTCTCAAAAGAGTTTTCTGTCACGGGTGTTCTCGAGATGGATCTTGAGATGAGATTACATTTGATTTAGGTTCTCCTGATGTTTCTTTAGGTGATGAAGAGCTCTCATTATTACTCAGGAACAATTTAAGTAGTCTCATGATATCAATTTGCAAGATGATCAGTTAACAAAAATAGACAAGGCACTGTTGAATGGTAAAGTGAGAAAACTTTAAATATGTAAGCAGATAAAATATATTTAAATAAAACAGTCTATAACATAAATTTACAACTGCGTTTTTCCTCTTCCCAGTCATTCACATGCTTACTCCATTTTAATGTGCATTATGAAAAATGTTAAGTGCGGTGCTTTGTAATGCAAAGGCAAAATAAGCTTTACTGCAAAATTGTCTCATTTAATCTGTAATCCATCTGGTGAGTCCTAGATACTAAATAAATTTATTTTCCTTATTTAGAAGGGCAGATGTCTGAAATGTGCAACTGAAGTTGCACAGTACCTGTGAACCAAGTAATAAACATTTTTTGTGCCAAACTGATTTTTCATTTGAGACAAGTGCTTTTACCTGTGATTTGTTTTGTGAGAATCCGGGGCTGAATACTTTTATGAATATTTTTTCTGGCACTTTATATAATCCAGTGCACAAAGGAATACTGTGAAAAAAAAAAAAAAAGAAAAAAGCAGCTATATCAAAAAGTGAAAGCTAACTCTAAAATTGCTGTCATATACATCTCATCGTTTCAACTTCTACTGTCATTGTTTCTTTGCATCTTACATCTTTTCAAAATTAACTGCTTTTCTGTAATTTTTCAAATCTCTCATTAATATTTCTAAGTTAAGTAGAGTTTACAAGAGCTACAATGAAGAACTGTATTAAAATCCTTGTATATCAAAGGTAAATTTTTAAGGCTATAGAGTTTCTATGATTTAAGAATATGAAGTAACACTAGTATATTAGACCCTGCTGTGATATGTATGTTTCTCTGAATTTATTGTCATGGTTATATGGTAGATGTATATATCTATAAATGTCCCTTAAAAACTCTGCCAAAGATTATTATGTGCATGAATGAAAGGACAGAAGATAAATGTAATGCTGACTGGTATACTGTCTTTCTTATCTGTGGTATCTCTATTTATGTACTTTCAAAAAAAAACCTCTTAACATTGTACTGAATCCTGTGAAGCTTGAATTCTGTTCATAGGAACAAACTATAGAAATAATTTTATCATACTCCTTAAGAGCAGTATTTGGAGAACCTTCAACAAATCTTTTCAAAGGAAACATTACAGTCTGCTGAGTAAATGTAATCTGCAAGAATTTTTAGACTAACTGCAAAAATGAACAAACAGCCAAACAAAATAGAACAGTACAGCTGAGCATGGAAGTTGAGCAAAGCTGAAATTACAGGCATCTTCATAAAATATTCAATTTTATACCTAAGAATAAAATATATATGTGTTTCAGAATAACATCCCATAATCCAAGGTACATAAAGTTGCAGTAGCACCAGCTGGAATGCTTTCAATAAGAGCGTACCTGAAGTAGCAGCCCATATCTTTGCAGCACTGTTCCACTGGGACATTTTTAATCTCATTGCATGAACTCCCGACTTCACGAGTGACCTCATCAGATCAGCTCTGTCTGCTTTTACTCTTATTAAATAGACTACATTGGATAGATTAAGTCAGGAATCCATTTAAAATGCTACTTTTGACCTAGAAAGCCACTCTGAGTAAAAATGCTAAAGGCAAAAATTTGTCTTAAATTTGTTATCGCTTTGAATGAAAGCTCCATGAAACTTCAGTTTCTTCTTCAACTGCAAAATAATGTAAGCCAAGAAAAGAGGTCTCTCTTGATAGATTATTTTTGTACATGGGAGGGCTGTACTTTTCAGTTGAAATACTCTAGGCACTAAGTTTTGGAGAGATGATCCATAAGTGATGTAATAAAAAAGCAATCACACCTTAGATAAAAAGCCTTTTAAAAAAGCAATCACACCTTAGATAAAAAGCCTTTTTGCCTCAGAAAAGAAATTGTAAATTTAATGTGGACATAATTTTTAATTTATTCCAGTGCTGTTCTTCATTACTTTGCATGTTAAAAGGAGCAGACATGAATTTTAAACAAAAGCTAATTTATTTAAGATTATAATTATCTACTAGTTTTTTAGATTTTTGCAGGGGGAATATGATCAAGACCTTTCATGTAACCAATTTAAAAATAATTTCATAATAACCTGAAACCAGATGCATTGTTTTTTTGTTCTTCTTCCTGATGTATCTGCATATTTTCCTCATTAAAGAAAATCCTGGCTTTTGACTAAAAAAAAAATCAACATGTGTACAGCAGAAAAAAAGATGATGAAAATAAAGTGAAAATTGTATTTATATACACTGTGTATAACTTTGTATGGAGAGAACTTCCACTGGAACCAATAAAGATAGTGAACTCACACAGTATTATTTGAGTAAAGGAGACACTTAAGGGATATACTTGCCTGGGAACTGTATTCTGTGTTTGAATTTTATGAACACACTTCTGTTCTTTGGCTCATAATGCTTAGTGTCAAATGGAGTGGTGTCCCTCAACTGCTGTACCAGTTACATACAGAGTGTGCACTGGTACTTTGGCAATATATAGCAAGGAGAACATTCTGAGAATTTTAAACTTAAATGTAAAATTCTGGTTCCCACATTTGGCTTAGATTTCTGTCTGATGCTGCGTCAAATGGGGTAGAACTTTTTTTGCTGATGTTGATAAGAGGTACATTTTCACAAAGGTGGCTTTGCTGTCTGAGGGCAATTTACTGTGTCATGACTTATTGCTCTTAATTATGAATTGAGTAGCTGTGTTTCTGCTTAGCACAGGCAATTAAGTATTCACCTCGGATAAAAAAATCTGATACTTAGCTTTATACTTTTGGAGAATAGGAGATATATATGCTTTATATAGTGTCCATACATATTTATTGAGTAAGGCCCAAATCCCACTGAAAAAAAGAAATATTTAGGGAATGTTTTTCTAAAATTTAGACATTTTTGTATCTCTGATATGCTTAGTGTCATAATATAGCACTCATTTAATATGAGACCTACTCCTTAAATACCCATATTTCATTGCAGCTGAATATGAAAAAAATATAGGTCAGCAAGGAGAGCAAAGTTGAAGTGATATGGAGGCAGCTTCTAGAATTTGCTTGAAAATTAACTGCATTTCACTAGATTTACCACTGTGTAAACCATGTCCTGAGACACTAGGCAAGTCGCCAGCAGAAGAAAGCCCTTTATGTTACCAGTATATAATCTAACTGAGGATACAAAAATTATGTTCTCTTTGTGTTTTATAATGTCTGTTTTTAGGAAACTGCAGGAAGTCATACCTAGATTTTTTTTGTCTAAATAATGTATAATCATATCTGTGTAATGTATACTTTATTTGATGTTTAGCTGTACTGTTTTTTAAGCCAATACCAGCCATTGGATTTTGAGGAAATATTTTTCAGAGGAAGGCTTTACTGAAATCAGAAAACAGTAAAAATTTGATCCCGAGTAGTCTCATATTTACTTTCAAATTTTATGAATCTTAGTCTCTAAGTTGCCAGGTAAAAGAGGGAGGAGGAGTTGCACTTTCCTTGTCCTGGGGGGGCTAGAGAAAGTAATTAGATATGTTCTTGAGTAAAGGATAAGCATCCACAGTTCTGCCAAAACTACCTTGGAAAATTATTTTCCTCCAGACTCAATACTGCAGTCACATCGCAAACCATAATTCCACTAATTTTAGGATGAATTGTGCTCTAGTAAAGCAAGTTATATCACAAATAAATGCTATTCATTTTGCTCTTTGACTCCTTGTTTTCTTTTAGTTAATGTGGAAATTTCCTGCTTTCATTTCATTTCTAGTATGATATCGCTAAATATGCAATGCTGGAGATAGAAATAACAAGCAAGTGAGAGCATATAAATCTGATTTCTTACTGTCTCAGTTTGCAGAGGAATATGAGAGAACTGAAAAGTTGGTTGCCCAGAAATCCAATGAAGCTTGATAAGGAGGCCCTACCTGATCTGGAAGAAACAGATTGCTACACAGCACCCTTTAGCCGTGCACGCATACACCAGTAAGTGCTGGAACCGGAAAGGCAGAGCCAGAGACCACAAGGATTTTTTATTTTCTCACTTCTAAGCAAGTGCCATAGAGGCAGCCCGTTAACAGATGGTCACTGGCAAATACCCAGTATATTTGATATTTTCTATGCGTTTTCTTTTAAAGCCAAAATCTACTCTCTGTCACTTGCTGTTTGATGGTCACTCAGTAGTATAGGCAGAAATTTGACTGAAAAATGAACACTGCCTTTTTGGTTTATAAATTCTTCTTTACATTACATAACATAACAGAATGCGAATACTTGCTCAAGTTTGCTTTGCCTAGTTACGTATTTTACTTAGGCAAAACATGAGACAGATGTTGTAGTTGTGAACACCTGGAGGCAAGCTAAAACCAGTGATAATTTTTCTTCTTTCTTATTAGATCTTCATTTTAAAAATGCTTTTCTCTCTGAAAGTGTGAATATATATATGCCAAATAAAAACTGTATGTGTTCAAATCAGCATGTTGATGGTGATGTAGTTAAACTGTGCCATAGTTTGTTTTTTTCAGGTCCCAAAAAGCTAGATTTTAAAATTCTGGCTGTTTCTTCATTTTTTTAAAGTGGTAATTCTTATAGGAGAGAAAAATTAATTTGCAGTAGAAGTGTAAATTAGGAATTTTTCCTTCTCACTAAAGAAGCTATATTCTAGTGGACTGACTTTACTCTGGAAAGACAGAGTAATTGTACTATAATCTCAGATTTTTTCAGGAATTGACTGTATTACATTGAATCAATTGTCTGGTTTTGGTGTTATTTCTCAACCAGCTCAGCTGACGTTATCAACTGTAATAGTGTCACTTTTGGCACAGCTGAGTAGACAAAAGCTCCTGCATGCCAGACTTTTGGCATCCGGAATCCAGAGCCATCTGGGATAGGATGCTTCATTTGGCTCCATCCTAGGATTTTCTAAGGGAAAGTGGTTGTGGAGCTGCTACTCAAGTGTCCAGTGCATGGAGATTTTTTTATTTTTTTTTTCTAAAAAATAGTTTTGATAGTTCCATGAAACAGACATCTGCCAGCTCCTACGTAACCTGAATTTGAGAACAACCATTGCTTCTGAAGGTCTTTTTTTAATCAATTATATCCAGAACAGAAATGAACTAGGTAGTGGGTTCTTTTATTATTTAGTTTTAGTTGCTCTGTTTTCCCAACAATAGTCTGTGATGATGGAAAATTTATTGGAGCTGAGAAGATGCTCTAGGGATGTAAAAATCATATATTGTGCAGTAACCAAGAGGGTAAAGATCCAATAAATCACTGCAAGAAGAAAACACTTGAGCAGCTACGTTGTAACACCTGTGCATTGCTTTGAATATTAAGACATTCATTATTTTAATAGTTTTACGATAAACAACAAAGACAGCTTCTTCAGCAATTCCACAAGAAGTAGAATCGTGCATCACATGCTACAGAGAACTAAGTATGAAGATGGAAAATCTAAAATGGGTGAGAATGCTGTATTTTTTTCCTAACCTGAAACTATAAAAATTTTATATCTTTACTTGTCTGAAAAAGTGTCATTTGAGTAAACTCAATTAATTTTGCTATTTCTTGAAATCTTTTCTTTTTTCATTTAGTAAGAGAGTTGAAGGAATGTCACATCAATAATTTTCTTAAATAACTCAGTGAAAACTGACAATATTTTTCACCTAATCACTCATTCCTTAAAATAAATTAGAGAGATTACAATAACTACATGATCAAGAGCCACAATAAAGATAATATACATGTCAAAAAACTGTGTTTTCAAGGACTGGTCCTAGTAGTTCTGCTGCTACCCAGCAGTTCCAGTCCAGCAGAATCAGTGTGAGCTACGCTTAACTTATTTGAGGTCTCCGTGCAGCTCAGAGGCATTTGACTTGAAAACTAAATTCAGTTTATATTGACACTCCTATTCCAGTATTATTTTTTTAGGGTTCTAACTATGCATTTTCATTTGCAATGGATGGGCCGTGTATGTATTATTTCCTATTTTCTTTGCAGGAATTTAATTAAGAATTAAATATATATAGACGGATTAAAACATTATACTTGATGGAAGATGATGGAAATTTCAGAAAGTTGTTGCTTGAGTTTCTGAAGAGAAACAGTTGTAAGAAAAACATAGAAAACAAGGGTTCAAATCTAATGCCTTTCAAGTTGATAATGGCAAATTTCATTATGAGATTAGTTTAGCATAATTTGTATATTTGAATGGACAAATCTGAACTGTGTTATAAGTACTTATTTCTTGGGGAAACTCGGCTATGCACGTGCTCTTACAGGCTACTGATTCTTTTTATTACAATTATTAATGGTTATTTATTATTTATAATGTGCTTTATTAGCACAACAAATCTGTTTTTAGGAAGACTCGAGGAGGTGATCCAAAACACTGTAGCCAGTATGGTGCAGAGCACTGCTCTGATACAAACGCCTTCAGCTGGTTTATATTTAAAAATAACAGGTTAGCTTTACCCCTGCAGGGATTTTGCTGCCTCAAGGATTGTCTGTCCATACCACTCTCTGTGTATGTCAGATCATCTGGTCACCCATGAAATCTGTATCATATGCTCTGATGAGTACAACATAAATGTAACCATCTTCTCACACTTGATCTGGCACCTGACCCTGAGAGAAGAGTTCCAGACATTAGCCTTCAGAAAGTTGTAGTCTGACAGAGCCAGAAATCTTGAGGGATCAGCACAACCTGTGCAGACAGTTGGTGGGAGTATTAATTATTGTCATGTTTAGCAGCATCCTGAGCATCTAGTATTCACTTACATTCTCAATATGTAACCTGAACATTCACACTGCTTCAAATTAAATGTGTATAAAATATTATATCAGAACTAATGCTTTTTTTCTTTTCAGGTATTAATAGATTACTAAATAATGGAACATACGAAGCAGCATTTCCACCACATGAGGTAACGTGGTTAATTTTTTATTTGTCTTTATATTTAGATTGAAGCTTTCATTAATGTTTTGAGATACTACTTTATTTTTAATTTTGTCCTGTAAAGTGTTAATTTTACTGTGCAATCTGTTGAGTTTGTTTGTTTGTTTCTAGTTCTTACTTTAGTATTAACTTTTAAAATTTTTCTCATATAATGTGTTACTATAAATTCCTGGAGCATTTTCTTACTGAACTAAAATATTATAATACTTTTTTATTTTTATGAATTGGATATTGCCTGTGGAGTTCTTAATGAGAATACAGATTTTTCCAAATTGTCACAATTAGTTGTATTAAATTATTTTTGCCTGCCACCTACAAAATGTTCTGTTTTGCTAATAGCTTATGCACTTGATCACAGTTAGGGAGGCTGGTTAATTATTTCCCATTTAGTCTTTTCTGAACAGTCCTGGATAGCTTCTGGTTAATTATATCTTCTTCAGTGGGTTAAAGTCTACTGTAAACCCATGAAGTAAATGAAAAACTTGTGTTTGACTTCAGAGGGTTTTCAGACAGTCTTTTTATATTGAAAAGAAAGAAGCCACACATCTTCAGTCATTTTAAATGCTGATCAGTAGCATGGAAATTGCAGCTGTGAACTCTGGGGTTGCTCACACTGAATTTTGTGACTTGGTCTCGCATTTGAAAGGACTGACCTCTGCTTTACAGATAATTTTTTCTTTTAATAATATATTATTAATTAAATACTGGGAATATAGAGAAGTATTTTAGATAAATGATTGAACATCATTGTTAACGCTTCAGCTGTGCACTACTGACTTCAGGGAAAAGCTGGCCATACTACCAGAAGTACCTGTGAAGCTTTCCATGGCTGTCAAAACCATGCTGTCATATCCATTTTATGTGTATATTACTTTGTTATGGTATAAGATACTTTTTCAAAGTTTCAGTTAAGGTTAATGAAGTCCCAGTTTTAAGCCACTCTTAAAAATTGTTACTTGACTGGTGCTAAGGGCTAGTGGTTGAACAATCTTAATTTTTATTTGATTTTTTTGCTTGACACACAAGCAAATGAGAGTGGCAATTCAGTCCCAGTGGGAATGCTGAGACTGGAACTCTCTTATGGACTGACTCTGTGTTTTGCTTGTAATGTCTCTGAGAGTCCTGTGTGGCTTCAAAATAATGCCAGTTCTGATGTTTCCAGCATCTTTGAAAATATGTATCCCAGAAAGACTATGTTTTCCTATACTTCTAAACAGGAGTTAAAGTCATAGAAAATGTCTAGGGAGGAGAACCGAGCTGACATACCAGAAATTTCTAAAATTTTATAGGAGAGAAAAAAAGATCCTGCAAAAATTTCATGAAAATTAGATGAAAGCATACAATTAAGCATATATTAGTGAAATAGAAACATTGTACTTGAAGCTGTATAAAGAGTTGATTAGTTCTTAATAGTCTTGTACTAATATGGTTCTATCATTAATTTGTAGAGAAACCAGCCATTTCAGAAGCATATGTAACCATACCTCTCCTGTCAGGTTTTCCTGTTAGCTCCAGATGACATGTCCTAGAGGTGTCCATAATATGAGACATATTTATTAAGAGTAGTGAACACCTCATTTAAAATTATATTCAAATACCCAAGAAATTTATATATTTTTCATAGTGCCCAGTAATATGCTGTTATTTCTTTATGTTTTTCAGGGAAGCCACAAAAGCAGACATCCTATCAAAACACACGGAGCTCAGAATCACAGACACCTCTTATATGAGCGCTGGGCACGGTGGGGAATGTGGTACAAATATCAGCCTCTCGATTTAATCAGGTATTAGTACTTTGAAGAGTAGCTTGTTCCTATGATACAGCCAACCTGGTAACTGTGCATTAACCATACTGGTAAATTCCTCGTCTTTATGTTTTCCTGCAAAATTTAGCTATTTGGTATGATCAGATAAAACTGAATTTCTTTAAGTTTCTTCTTGTGCAGGGCTGTTAATTTCAAATGAGACTGCATGAAAGGCACATAGATCCAACTGCTTGACAGTTTGCATTGTGAAACTTAAAATACAAACCCATTAAGTGGTCTGTTGATCAGAGACAACTTGTCCCTCATGAGACCACCTTTGAAAACACAGTTACCCATATGGTCAGTCAGTGTTACCAGATCCATTGGAGGGAGAATGCAGCCTAATTGTTGGAGTTAAACAATTGTGATGTTTGGTTTCATATTTTCCTCATCTTTGACACTGAATACTAATAATGCATTTTTCCTTGCTATCAGTTTTTATTCCTGATCTGACAGACATAAACAATCATTGTGCCCAATATTGTTCTACTGAAGGATGTGGAGCTAAACATGTACCATGAGACAATTCTGTCCTGATCAAATAACATCATCCATGACTGACTTTCTGATCACTGCTACTTTATCTAGCAACTGATAATCAAGTTTTGAAGAATTAAAGTTCCATCTTCAGACTGTGTTTTCAATCCATTGCTTTCTCTAATAGTAGTTTGAAATACATCATATTACATGATTATCTATCTAAATGATTTTTCTAATGGAATACTTAGGTCATATCAACTGACTTTATCCCTTTCCAGATTTTTTTTTTTGTGTGTATACATATGTATATATATATCTCTCTCTCTTATCTCAGTGTTTGCAAATAAAATGTCCAACAGTTAATAGTGTTGCAACTAGTACGTCTACTTAGTCATTTCAAGGACATGAAAACTAGAACACTTCAGTTACATCCTTAGAAAATGTATGTTCTGGTAACTCTGCAGTTAGTGTCACTAGAATGTTATGGTAGCCTGAAATAAAATGTTTTTGTAAACTGACAGTAATTTTGCCATAAACTTGTTGTTCTACCTTAGAATTATTCTACTACTGTGGAGATAGATAGAATTGACTGTAAGTTTTAACTGTAAACAACCTGTGTGTTTCCTTTCATGTAGGCGATATTTTGGTGAAAAAATTGGACTGTATTTTGCCTGGTTGGGATGGTACACTGGAATGCTTATTCCTGCTTCCCTAGTTGGGCTCTTCGTTTTCCTCTATGGATTATTTACAATGGATTCCAGCCAAGTAAGGTAAAATCCCATTTTAAATGATAGTAGCCTGTAGAAAGTTAAGAACAGTCTGGCACAACTTAGATCACTATTATACTTATTAATACTTTCCAGATATGGTAATCATGTAAAAATAACCAAATAGAACACTGGGTTCTTCAGTCAAGTGTATCCACTTGGTATATCTGGTTTGCATCAATGTGTACTGTTCACAAGTGCCCTTACCACTGCACCACAGTATTTCCCATTCTGTCTGTAAGGAAAAATGTCTGTCTGCAAGTATCGATTCTAATGTCACAGGTACTGCAATGGTTGTCATTCTAGTCAAGGCTAATGGATGAAAAAAGTCAGACATACTCCCTCTTTACCTCCATCTTGTCTGTAACTTCCAGAGTTTAGTATATTTGCTAAGCTTCAACTTTTGTCTATGTATTTTTTTTCTCCCAGTGGCAATAGTGGCAAACTTTAAGCCTAACAAAATTCTTTGACTATGTCAGTGTGAAGTGCAACCAGGAGACCCAACTTTGGGCAGATTACAAGGACGTGAAATGAAGCTAGTTTTCAGGATTCCCACTGTTGTGATTTTGCTCTGAGCGGAGTTTATGTCAACTTAGAAATAGTGATGAGGGTGCTGGAGTTAAGTGTTGCCTGTATTTTTAGGAACTGTTTCAGAGGACGCACCCTTATTACGAAGTTTTCCATTAGATGTCATCAGACACAACAGTATCAGTGCTCTGACAATTGTAAGTGTTGGTCCAAGCAGTTTGGATGCTCAGGCTGTAGGTATAGTTGAAGTCAGAGTTCATAGGGAGTGGTGTTTCTTGGGCCTTGAGCAGGACTATTTTACATTTTCTTTATGGAATTGTCTTTATCTTCTCTTTCACAGTGAGTTATTTTATTCTGCAGTGCTATAATAAAGGCTTTTATAGGCTTGCTTTTGTACGGCAAACTCCTGAGAGACTTACAACTTCAAACTGCATTAAATGCAATAATTTTATCATCCAGGAAGCTGTGCTATCTTTAGCATATTGTTCTCTGTATTAGGACTGTTTTGCATGATAAATGTAAAATGTAATGCATGTAATGTAAAGCAGAGGATCAGCCTCTTAGAGCACAGGGACTAACACTGTTGAACTGGGAAGGTTTTATTCTTCAGATGTACAATGGCACAACTTCAACAAGGGGGGGACGAAAAGCCATTATCTACTGTTATCGGGGTGTTGCTTAATATTTTAGGGACTCCTTGTGGAAGAGAAATAACAGAATTTCTAAGAATTTAATTTTTTTCAAACTGTAAACTATTATGTGCTTATATATGACATACGCTTCACCAGAGAAGGAGATAAGATTCCTGCTTAGTTCTTTTAACTGAGAGATATGGATATCTTGCTTGCTGAAGGTTGTGGGGTATAAATTGCAGGAGCACAGAGGTAGGCTGGCTTTCATGTTTTCCTTTCCTAATTTTTTCCCCATGGACTGCCATTGAGCAGCTGCAGACAAAACATGCAGATTTGAGTTTGCTCCACATGGAGGCTGGTTGTGTTGGGTCCCATCCTGAGATGCCTCAGTGTCATGCTGTGCTGCATAGAGCTCCAAAGTGCCCATCAGCTGCTCACGAATATGCTCCAGAAGCAAGAGCCTGAAAGTTAGGTGATCCACCATGTAAGCCCTAAGATACCTATAAGGGAAAGCGATTATTTATGTATTCATTATAGCTTACATTAGCCAGTGCTCATTTCAAATGGGTTAATGCAGAATAGCTATCTGTGTGCTCTGTGGCAGCCCCAGAACATCTGCAATTTGGATGTATTAACTCTGGGCAGAAAGGCCTCTCTGCCTTTGATGGTGTGACTCTGCAGTCCCTCTGGTTAGTTGTGACACAATACTGTTGTATCAGTGCATTGATATGCCCAAGTTAGTAAAACCTGCTGTGAGACGTGGATTCAAGAACAGAGCTTAACTAACTCAAGCTGATTGTGACTGGCCTGATAAAAATATATGTAGATGTTTTCTGCATCACCTTGTGTACTTAACTAATTCTAAGGACCAGTGAGAACAGATGCTGCTCCTTGCTGTATTTGCTTATTTAGCCTGGAAGGGGTTAGTGAGGGTTTGACAGAAACCTCCTACCTAGAGCAGAGAGGAGTCATCCATTAGCAGGCAGACAGACTGCACAACCTAAGTGTTCTTAGTCTTGCCATCTTCTGGGACTGTGAGATTATTTATCTAGTGTTTCTACAGTTATTTAAAGAAAACTGCTAAACATCCATAACAGTTTTAAAATACATCATTTGATTTTGAGCACTGCAGCTACCGCAGTATGCAAATGCAGTACTCAGCAGCCGGCAAGAGGAAATGGAGTCGGGTACGTTATTCTGACAAAATCTAGACTCAGGAAGCCCAGTGACAATTAGGAATTTAAAACTAGTGCCAGGGCATTATGGCAGTGTGGAAACAAAACTGTGGAACATGAATTTTTATTTCTTATTTCATACATCGTCAATTATGTTTTGATCCATTTGCCCTCCCTGCACTACACTGGGGGAAATTTGAACTGGGAGTCAAATGGAAGGGCTTCAATAGTCCTGTAGAAGTGTCTTCCTCTGGGTTCTTCTGTTTCAACAAATTATGTGCCCTAACTATTACCTGTCTTTATTCTCCAGTTAGATGTTAAGCTATTACATGTTGATTTGTCTATGTAGAAATAAATCTAATGGTTTTAAAGAGTTTGGGTTTGATGGGTTTGTACATACCATTAATTATCGCTGTTGTAAGTTGTCCCCTTGTTGTCAGTCAGACAGGAAAGGCTGGGCATGAACACAGCATAGCTCGAGGTGTCTTTGCACCATGTGCTGTAGTCAGATTTCAGATATATAAGTGAGGACAGTACAAAGAAACTTTACTTTGCTCTGTTATACTGAAGATTTGAGTAGCAGTAACAGTTTACATAGCACCTGTCACAAACGCTTGTGTAACGAACGCTATTGTCTTTGCTGAGTAGCGCCGAAGCATGTGACCTATCACTGTCGGTATAATTTTGTGAAACTGCATGTTATTAAAAACAAACGAAGGTTTTAACTTGAGATACAGAAAATCTTAACGTCTTTAATGTTGAATTTAAATTCAAAGTACAGTACAATTTGGCCTTACATGTGACAACAGTTTGTATTATTGCCAAACCATTGTAACATATGGTTGAAATACGATTTTCTGTGCTTAATCATTTGAAGGAAAATGCAAGCGAGAAAATGATCTGATGTGGCACACTGTAAGATTTCTGTTACTCTGCAACTCTGAAATGACTGTGCTCATTCTGGCTTAAGGGTTACTTAGGACAATTTCTTTGTCAGATCCACATTATGTGGTAGGGTTTCAGAGAATTAGCGATTCTGATGTTATGTGGAGTGAAGATTACAAAAGTGGCATCTAGGCAACCGGAATCTCTTATTACTATTTACTGTTATGTCAGACAGGATTTTATAGATGCACTTATTTGGAATTAAGCATAATCTTCCATAGAGCATTAGAAGTTTAAATTCGGCCTTTATGAGTAGGAGAGTGAAAATGCAATGTTTATTAAAACAAATTAGTAACGATTTTCCATTTGTTTTATACTGGTACTTTTCTAGTGTGTCATAGGATCATTTCAGGCATGTCAGCATTGCTAAAGAATAGGGAAGGGCAATTGCTGAGGTTCTTTGGGAAGCTTACTCACTGCAGTTAAAATTTGCCTTAAAATTCATTTTTGCACTTCTGTTAATTCTGTTTTGCCTTTGTTAAGACACTTAATTATGTACTGTGTTTTGAATATGAATGGTCCTAGTGAAGACAGTGACTTAATCTTCCTAATCTTAGGATCCTTAAATATCAGAATGTAATTTTTTTCCCCCAAAATAGGATATTAAAGTGTGTGTGTGTGTGTGGTTTAACTAACTCTATACATAAGCTCTTCTGTAGGAAATAAAAACGCAAAGACTTGAAATACTGCTGCCAAAAATCCCTGTCAGTAGATTTTTACATGTGACCGAGTAATCTGAGTGTGCATGTGATCATCCTGTGGAACAGACCTTCAGGTGATGTAAACTGGGGTCAGTTGATTGAGATCAGTGTAGTTATACCAGTGATGTCCATCCTCTTAACATTTGGTATCTTCTATGTCAGTAAGAGAAATATGCAGTAAATGGATTGGAAGGTAGTGAACAAGGTTTTATGCTTCTGTTTGTGATATTTGGGAGAGAATGGGGTATTCACAAGTGTGAGGAGTGTAGCGTGATGCCCAAAAATATTGCATACTACTCTAGGGCCCATAATTTTCAGGTTACTGGTTTGGGATTAGGCCCAAACACTCAGTTTTGATTTATTTTATTGATCTGGTTTTGTGGTGTTAGGCATACTGTTAACAAATAGGGACCACAAATGGCATAACCTCAGAAAATCTTAAGAATGCTAAAAGCCTTTTTATAACCTTTATTTTTCTGTCTCATACTAAAGCAAAGAGATCTGCGAGGCAAATGAAACCATCATGTGCCCTATGTGTGAACGCAATTGCACACTACAAAAACTCAATGAAAGCTGTATATACGCCAAGGTAATTACTGTCTTATTGCTATCAAGATAATCTTTGTCTAAAGAAATGATCAGAGATTATTCTAAAATTTGTTTTACTTTCTGTGAGCATTTCCTTCCTAAATTCTTATTATTTTCATCAACTTATAAAGTCCCCTGAGTAATAAAACTTTTCTTGGAAGGCATTTCCTACTTTCCCCTACAATCAATTTCTTACTCTGTTTCCCTTGCTTACTTTGTAATTGAATTTCTGTTCCTCCTAAAGGAATTCTCTAGCTTAATGTGCCTGTGATGTGCTTTACTCTGTCAAACTAATGCAAAGATTTTACACAACTAAATATTTTGCTACAAGAAGCTATCCTTCAAACCTAAATAATCACAAGTACCTCTGTATACACACAGTGTTTTCAAGTGAGCAATATATTTTGATGTGTGGTATGTTCATAATGCTGAAAAAGCAGCCTTGGCATTTTTCTTGGAAGTCTTTAGCCCATAAGATAAATCATGCTCAGAAGCCTGTATTTATAAAATGTGATTGTCTCTGGACCACGGCATTGCAACAACACTGCAGCAATGGGAGAGAGAACATCAATTTTTGTGTTAGATTTCAACATTTGGTATAGATAGGACCAATGCTGAGTAAAGCATTTGATATTGTGGCATCCTTTCAACTTTAGGTCCTGTTGTTTCAACATCCTCAGTTAATAAGCAGCAGGATTTTTCTTATATGTACACTAACATCCCGTGCTTAAATTATGCAAATTTCACATTTTAATAATTGTGAAAAATTAATTGCAGCAGAAAAAATGTAGCAGCCCATCCATACTCCCATGTATTTTCAAACCTGTCCCTTTGAAACAAACTCGGATGACAGCCAAGGAAGACCAGCAGTAACCACTCGTATGCCATCTCCGCAGGCACGCTTTTTCTGATGCCTGCAACTATTAGGGAAATTAATGTAAGCTCCCAACTTTTCCTGCCAATGCTTTTGCTCTGAAAAAGGGATCAACCTGAGCTTGGAACATAGAACACAAACAAAAATTGTCTCCTTTCAGGATTTATTTGTTCTGGATCTCCCCCAAGTGGAGGAGAGACAGACTTCTCTTTGGGAAGGAATAGGATAACCATCTGGCTGTTCAAATGGCAAAGAAAAATAAAAAAAAACCAAAAAGCTCAGCGAGGCTTTTTATAACTCTGAGGTTATAACTGTAGTGCCTTCACTCACCACATTTTCTCTAAAGAAAAGTTCATTGCAGCTTCACTCGTTACCCTCTTGCTAGGAAATGTCTGGTTTCAGCAGGGTTTGTGATCCCGCTGGGTGCCACCGTGTTGCTTGAGTTGAGCAGCACATATCCAAACATGTGTCAGCACTGCCACTGTGGCTGCACCCACATTAGTGAATGAAAACAATCTGTGATGTTAGAAAACTCCAGTCTGATTTCAAATCAAAAGCTCATTGGTACTGTCCGAAGTACTGTTAGCAATATAAGGGGAGCTAACATATTTAAAAATAAGGCATCAGACCTGCTGTCTGGGAAAAGAACATGGCATTTCCTGGTGACTTTCTTGTTCCTGCAATGGAGCTTGTCCCTCTGGTTATGTTGTTGTGGGAACAGAACTTATTTATCTGTCTTCCTTGCACACCACCAAGGCTGATATGCAAGGGAAGCTATTCCTGTTTCTTTCCAAGCACTGGCACCCTTGTTCTGGAATAAATATTTTAATCATTCATTCAAATATCTCATTGTATACAAGTTACATAAGCGTTGAGTTAATTAGCGAGTTCCTCTAAGTGAAGTTTATCTCCATGCACCTGCTTATGTCATGGGACCTGCCTCATTTATGTAAGGCTTTGTGCTCATATTTCATGTCATTAAAACTGCTGTCAGAGTTTCTTTCTTAAGTATCTGTTAAGTTTCCCTTTAGAGGAACACTTCAGACAGAACATACTAATGCCAGAAAAATCATATACTTCAAATGTTTTTTCTGCCAAGTTTTTTGTAATGCTGGAGACAAAATACAAAAGATGCCTTCTTCTTTCTCATTACTCCCCATTTCTTTCATCCCTTCCCTCTTTATTCCATTTCCATTTGAAAATGCCACACTGAAGTGAAGTTTATAATTTAAAGGAAAGACAGGTAATACCTGAGTTGTAATCTGAGTTGCTGAATGCCCAGGCTGTCATTCTCCTTAGCATTAAATGGACTCTTTGATCTGTGGGTGATGAGGGTGGTGCACTGGGGCTCTTTGGGCTGGTTCTGTGCCCAGCACACCTTGCCCTCTGGCCTTGGGGCTGGGTGTTGGTTCAGGGTGGATTTGAAGTGCCTGAAGTCTCTTATGATGATGACAACATCAGTCAGGTACGCTGGTGGACTGGCACTACAGTCTTTCACTTCTGCTTAGAGGCCTGCGGGCATTTAGCCTTTAAGACAGTCAAATTTTAATTCTGAGCATGATGCTGAAATGCTGTAGCCTGAATGCTTTTATAAAGACAAAGCTAGATCAGGAGCCAGATATGTATTTTCTACTTTTAGCAACTCTAATGTCCTGGGTTAGGTTTGGATGGTTGGTTTATTTCATATTTCTTTGGAAAGATGCTCTCTTTACTGAGCAGAATATCTATAATCACGTTGTCACACAGATCAACATTCAAAACTGAAAATGTTCATCAGGTTTGTTCCACTGCTCTTCTTTACCAGTCACATTTTCTGTCTCATATCCATTATGTTTGTGTTTTCCTTTACAGAAGCAAAATAAAAATGAAGCTAAAGAGATATTTGTATTTACAATTTTTATGATTCATGTGGGGAACATACTGGATTTATTGATATCCAATACCAAATAGCCAATTCCCATTTCAGAATAGTAAAAACAAAACAAAAAAAAACAAAAACACTGATATACAGATAAAATATGTTTTTAATAAATTCTCACAATATTATAAAAATTTTACTCAATAAGAAATAAAATAGAAGCAAGCAACACTGTTTCTATTAACTTTTTCTGCCTTCCTGATGTAGTTTTCTTAATTGGGTAGGCAGAATCAATAATACCAGTTTCTTCTTTAGAAGAATAGACATCTGTCAGCAGGATGAGTTCTTGCAGCAGGCAGCTCTCCCAGGTTAGGTAACCTGCCCAAGGTGGGCTGTCAGCTCCCGCATCCCAGCACAGCTCGTGTGCAGAAAATCCCTGCTGGCCAGTGTAACTTCAGATGTAAGAGAAGGTCACAGTACAACAAAAGTGAATCTGGTTACCTGTGTCCTTCCATTGGCATAACGACAGGTTTCTTTTCATGGTGAAAGCTTAAAAATTGGTCCTTAAGTCAGCAACAGAGTCAACAGCAATGCAAGTAAAGTCTTTTCAAGAATATTCTATTTCAAAACATTCTCTTCTGATTTTGAAGAGTGGGAAATCACTATGAATTTTCTGATTTGGGGATGATACATATCAAAGTCATTTGTAGCACTTTTTAATTTCTTGTTCCTCTCTCTTCAGACCCTCTTTCTAACATACACCTGTTGATGATAAGTTGGTTTTCTCCATTATTTTATAATTATTTGTGCTTTTTTTTTTTTTTTTCCACATAGGAATTTGAAGCCTGTGCTTTGCTTATTAATGCTCAGCAACATCTTAAACCACCTTTCATTAGAAGAAATGTAGGCCTGTTATCCCTGGATAAATTACATTGCTGTAAATTGGCAATCTTACAAGTGTTGAAAGGCAATTCATTTAAGCTTATGAAGACCTTAAAATAGAAAATGTTAAGGTTAAATTTGACCCAAGGTGTGAGAAGAACTCTGGAGGAATTTTTAACCTGTCTGGACATGGGCAGAGCAGCTCTTGGTGTCTGTGAAACAAATAGACTGGAGATACATTAACTGACAGTCTGCAAACCTAGTGTTAAAGTTACACTGAAAGACAGAGCGAGACAAACCTTGGTAGAAGAAACATTCAAGTAGGACTTCTTATTAGAACGCTTAACTTCTAGGTTTTGCCACCAGTTCTGTACTCTGGGATTCTTTGGGACAAAAGATAACGTGGCAATATTATTTGATCCTGATGTATTAATTTTCTATTCAGGTTACACATTTGTTTGATAATGGAGGGACTGTCTTCTTTGCTATTTTCATGGCAATTTGGGGTAAGTACGTTTTTATTTGTTTTGCACTTTTAGTTTATCTGACCCTTTTATATGATATAGTTCTTGATAAAATTTAAAGAAGGATTATGATTTTGTCACACAACTTTTTTTTTTCCTGTTTTCATCAACTTCAATTTTTATGCTAGTAGTGGCTGAAAATAACACATTTTTATTGTTAATATAACTACTGTCTTTAGCATCTTGAATGTTTTTAAGCCTGAATTTTATATCATGCAGGTAGAAGTCTTTTTAGAGGCAAACATAGGTCAATTTACTGATTTAGAGTCAATATAAAAATAATTTCTTGTAGAGAATTCTTATAGAATAAATGTGAATGTTTTTGTGAGAGCTAATTAGAGGGAAGTATAAGGGAAAAGTGGGGAAGACTGGTATTAGGACAAGAGATAGTTAATTTTACCAGTGTAAATGTTTGTCTATGTAAACTGAGAAAATAACACCAGCTCACATACATACAACTGTCTGAATTCAAGCCAGATTGAGTCAAATTGCACACAACAGCTTTATTTATGTGATATATATGAATAAGCATTAATGATTTTAACATAAAGTGAAGGATGAAAAAATGTCACGAATTTTGGAGGCTGGCCTGGTAAAAAAATATACAAACAACAGCACAACGTCAGAGAGGTACACAGACAACAGAAGCACATGCACATACATACAAAAATCAGTTAGATTGTTAAAAATTAGCATGATATAAATATAACTGAAGGGCACACTTTGCTTACCTCAGTGATACTTCTTCATTGGCTCCTAATCTTGCTGTTATATCTTGGCGATTACTAATAATTAGTTTCATAAATTCCTAAAATATATGGCACTTGGTTATATGGTTACTAATGTAGGCAGCGCTGGTAGTTTCTTAGCATCCCTTCATCTCTGTCTTTGAGTTCTCCTCAGAGAGAGCTCTTTCAATTGGCAGCTGATGCCGAGGTTCAAGTGTAAAAAGGAATTTTGCTTATGCAATGCTGCTTTATCATTATCAGGAAAGATGACATAATATGTGCTAAGGCAGATGAAAACTGAACATTACATTTTTCTTAATTTTAAGCAGCAGAGTGATTCTCTCACCTAACACAGGTGAATGTGTCTGTGATTATCGGTCTGCTATCTAATGTGCTGGATACAATGTTAGAAATCAGGTTCTGGTTTTGATGGGAAATGTGCTGTTTTCATGACTGGACCATGTAGGAATGGCAACACTGCACATGTGCACTTAATTCCTTAATCTTTGGAAGTAAATACGTGTTTTACTCATTTGCAGTGTGACTCTGGGGTGTGTGTGCATGTAATTTACTCACATAACAAATAAACCCTCATTGCACCATTCAGAGACAGTTAGCGAGGTAACTTCATCAACATGATCCACAGTGTCCACACTAAATAAAGCATTTTAACAGGGTCATAGTAACAAGCATGTATCCCACGTGAGTAGTTATTTTATCTGTATTCTATTTTGTTTATTCTATGCCTTTACAGCTATGCCTTTTTTGTGTTCTTTCTTGCTATTTAGAGATGTCTGGTCATTGCAGACAGATAAACTGTGCAATTATTTGCATTATACGGCCATAATTTTACTCTTTAGCTGGAAAAAAACAGATCATGCTTTTTAAGGTATCTATATACATGGCAGAGATAATTCCATTCCTTTCATGTTAAGTATTTCTTCTATCTAACCTGTACTAAAACCTTTTACGTCATTTCTACAGAACTAGCCTGCAATGCAAACAGCAGTTCAGTTTGACAGAGGAATAGAAGCTTATCCTCTTTTTTTCCCTTCAATAGTGATTTTAACTCTGTGTCATCATAGTTAAAGGTTAAATGTAGTCTGTTACTCAGTAGTTCCATTCTCCTCAGCAAACTTGAACCTCCGAGTAATCACTGAGAAAGGTACAAATGTAGAATGGGGAAAATCATAGAATCATAGAATGGTTAGGATTGGAAGGGACCTTAAAGATCATCTAGTTCCAATCCCCCTGCCATCAGCAGAGACACCTTCCACTAGATCAGGTTGCTCAAAGCCTCATCCAACCTGGCCTTAAACACTTCCAGGGAGGGGGCATCCACAACTTCCTTGGGCAACCTGTTCCAGTGTCTGACCACCCTCACAGTGAAAAACTTCTTCCTAATATCTCATCTAAACCTCCCCTCTTTCAGTTTAAACCCATTTCCCCTTGTCTTGTCCTGCATCATTTATCAGATAGAAATTATATTTGAACAGAATAGTTTCACCTCAAGGTAGTTAAATTTGTGATTTTCTTGTATTAATGCTAAAATATCATTGCAATCCTAGACAAATTTTGCTCTGTTACAATGTCTGCATTCTTGACCAAAGTTACACAAGGCAGAAATTTACCTGGGTGCTATTTGTTTGTTATTTCTAAGAAAGCTAGTATAATATCCTTCCAGGAAAACCATAGGTTGATCATTTAATTGCAAAGTAGAAGAGTGATACTCTGCTACTAGGTCCTGCCTGTCGCGTATCAGTGTATCTTGTGATTTTCCCCTTGCTTTCCAAGGCATTGTTTGCACAGTAGTGGCTGTAAGAGAACAGCTGCCAAGTCATTCTGGAAAAAATGAAAGCGTGTAGATAACAGGTGAGAATATAATCTGAAGCAAGCATTATGGTGAAGGGTGGGACGGTGACATGTCAGCCATAGGAATGCCATCGGATGGGCACCCGGCGTTGTCTTCCTCTGCCTTATCTGCTCTGCTGGTTTTGTTATCTGTCGCACAACCAAAACTTGTATCGTACGGTCCAAGTGAGTTATCCAAGTGGAGAACTGAAAGGAAAACATAATTATTTTTTAATACATTGTTTGAAAGATTCTTATCCTCATACACTGAATACCTCATGGTTTAGTTCAGCAGTCCCTCGCAGCTAAATCCAGTTAACCTCTTTCTTATGTATGGGAGAGCAAAAGATGAAGGCCTTGATTCATGATCTTCTGAAGATAACATGTTCTCCCAGTAATGTCTATTCAACACTACATGGGTGGTCAACTTTCAAAGCTAGTTTCTAATCTGATGTTCTGGCAGCTTCCTTGCATTTAAGCCAGAAAGGGCATATTGCCAGAGTTTTATTTTTGTTTGATTTTATATGAGAAAAAAAGTATGTTTAGCCTCTCAGTGTTTGTTTAAACATTTAAAAATGAAGTCCAGGAACATTATATAAATGTTTGGAGACTGTGAGATTACACTTTAATGCAAGTTTATACATACTCATCGAGAAGACAAAAGCAATCTTTTTAAACCTCTTAAAAATATTTTTACTTCTAAAAACAGACATAGCTTCATCCCTCATTCTGTAATTGAAATTGGATGAGTAAGGAGTCTGGCCTTTTTCAGTTAATCAAAGTTTCACTTTTGAACTGTAGTTCTGAACTCGCCTGCAATTCTTTGAACAGGTTCACTGATACTAAATACAATATTTTGTGATACTTCAGAGGTTAAAAAAATAACTTTTAAGGAGGAGACATAGAGTTAAGGGGAACATTGATTAAGCTAAAATGTAAAAAGAATACTATCAGTTGAAAACTAGTTTGACAGGAGTTGATGATATAATTCCTAATAATTCAGTAAGACCAGACTATTTAAGCAGCTCTGTGCAGATATTAAAAAAAAAAAAAAAAGTTCTTATGCAAAACACTTGTGCTGTTCCTTACCTGGGTCATTCCTTGTATCGTCATAAAGCCTTCTGTGGGAAAATGACTCGGAACTTTTCCTACCACATATAAAATATACAATCACACCAATTAATATAGATCCCAAAATGGCTCCCACAATGACACCAGCTATTACTCCTGCTTTGTTGGTTTTGTCTAGGAGAGAAAGAAAGAAAGAAGAGGCAGTTGAATGGAAATAATAAATCTGTAAGATCAGATACTTCACTCTCGCTTCATAGCAGTTGAGGGTTTTGAGGAATGAGACTTTTCACCAAAAATCTGAAACACTTTGCAGACTGTGACTAAACCACCCTCTCTGCTGAAACTCTCTGACTTTGTAAAAGAAAATAGACATCTCCATCCTTGTCTTTCAAGGGAATAACTGGGGTTTGTTGTTTTTTTTTTTAAAAAAAAAGAAGGCTAAATGAACTTTTAGTCAAAGAAAAAGATTCCAGGTTTAGTTACAGAATCGACCACTATCCTTTTTTGTAAAGAAATAAGCAGTAATCACTCTGAATGCAATTATTTGTAAGTATTTAAGCCATCAGTTAAAATTGCAGCTTCTGAATTTTAAGTGATTAAATTTTAGAGTACCAGTTTTTGAGTATGTAAGGTAAGAAATCCAGTAATGCTTTCTGCACCTGTTCAATTAGTAGAATAACTGCATTCCTCCAAGATTTTCTTCAGATTTCATAAAACTTTGCTTCAAAGTATTCTGTTTTTCTTGGAACTGAACTTGGAACTGAAGCAAAACCAGGACACTTTCCCACCCCCCTTCCTTTTCAGTCGTGTTATCTAAAAAATGAGTACATTGTAATTATTAGAACTATGATGGGAAACATGAAAGTCTGATGCTCCTTCAGTTCTTAGTACAAACTGTACTCTACTGGATATGATGGACAAGCCTTTCAGTCCTGTGTTAAAGGCTTGAAAGCTAATTAATGGCAAAAAATTACTGTGTCTTCTAATCATTCCTTTTCTTTTCCTGAAGACCTGATTCAGAGCAACAGGATAGAAAAGTGTCATGACAGTTTTATGCTCTATTATTTTCCCACGCATACTCAACTTGATAATTAAATGTACAATGAGTAATTCCTTTGGAAGTATTTCTAAGAAGTCATCTTTGGTCACAAAAGTTTCTGAACTTAGATAAGTTGATGTGCTACACATTTAAACGTTATTTCTACACATCTGCTTTGAAGGTCTGCTCCAGTTTGAATGAGCAATACTTGTTATTAGGTTCCCCCACTCTAAGTGTTAAACAAACAAGTAAACAGCAAATAATTTCAAATATACATTTTTTTATTTTGGGTT